ACAAAGGGTTCGAGCCCCTGAAATATATATTTATAAATGAATATGTGACACAACCCCGTTTGCCTAAATAGCAAAGATTTTGGTAAGACTAGGTAATGTTTTGATTTACTTTCTCGAGAGATGAACCCATGCCGACCTTCACCTTTGGCTATACATATTCACTATCCGCACTTTCATCATATTTTTGACTTCACCCTGAACGTATTCATTATATCCAGTCTCCAGTCATTGAATTGGTGTTTCGAATCGTAATGAGTTCCACTAAAATTTAAATTAATGCTCAGCCAAGTGTCAACGATTGAACAGTTTCAGTTCAACAATGTATATTTTTAACTTTGTTCCTTACAATGTATTTACCACAAATGGAAAGGGCGTGGACCCATGGACCGTGGAAGTTTTTGTAACCATCTCAAGGAAAAATAATTATTTGTCTACCAACAATGTCATTCCAACCTTTCTATATTATCGCACAAAGTAAAGTAATTAGTCTACTTTCTCTTAAGTCATTTTTCTTGCGAACTGAAGTACACTGAATTGAGAACGTTTACGTTTTTTCTTCTCGCATTATCTGAGCTGGAGAAAACTCACTGTTTTACCTAGAAATGCAATCACAGATCCAAGCGAATTCAATAAGAAATATTCTAGTTTCTATAGACACCATAATTTTTTCTGACAACCTACTTCCCGCATTAATTACTATTTCAAAACTCGAAGTTTTGTTGCGTCGATCGTCGAAGGTCCTAAAATTTCCTTCGAACCGACTTTTGTATTTTCGTGAGGTTAAATTGCCTAGTCACTCTGAAGGGTAACAATCAACAGTTTTTTAGTTGTGAAGCAGCTGCCTCAAAAATATTGGAATTGAAATTTTTAAATAAACTCGTAAGTCCATAGATGGACAACGAATGTGTATGAAATGAGGATCAAAAGAAACTGTAATATTCAAAACACAAATGAAGCTATTATCAAAATTTTGGACATTTTTCAGTGTATTTTATAAAAATGCTAAGGATTTCCAACTCTCCTGTATTGACCTAAAGTTGAGAAGTCACAGTTAATAAAAAGTTGTTATGAACTCGAGCCATTTCAACATATATTTCAGCATACATTTTTTGTGAGCAGATTTCCAAACGGGTCAATTCTGCACCTTATGGCTGGAAAATGAATCAACTTTTGGCACAGAGAAGAAAGAGTTTTTGTGATGTTGGTCTGGCGATATTTCTGACTTCTGGCTTGGATAATAATGACTACCTAGATTTCTGTTTTTTTTTGGTGAACAAGTAATACTACGTGTAAGTATAGTTGAACTCCGCAAAAGTAATTGATACCCATTCCATGATCTTGGTGAGGTCTTCGATAATTATTGTTCTACGTTGTTTCACTTCGTCTTGTTGGGAGCGATCATTGACACAGTGTTAGACGACTAGACAGTATAAAGTGTACTGTCATTCTGCAAATCTGTCGACTAGCCAGCATCTTGTTTTGAAAAGGTCGTTGAGTGAAGAACTATTCGAACGAAATCAGGGCAATAAGAGGCAGATTGATCTTTGGTAACGGAAACCATATTTGCAGTAATATATCATCTCAGGAGATACAGCAATGAAAGACAGCAATAAAATGAAAAACACCAGTCAATACGTCCATAATAATTGAAAAAATAAAAGATATTGCAAAATAAACAACAAGGAGTTTCGGGTTAGAACTATACGGAAATCCATATGTAGCTAGATATGTTAGAGACTTTGAGGAACGGATTTCAGGAACTGTATGGCCTCGTTTGAAAAATCATAATCAGTTAGCTTGATGAATAGAGCACTACTGATATTTTATAAAATGTTTCGAAAAATCAATTCACATCAATTTATATCACATCAACTTGATCACTGTTATTCACTATCTCAGTATCAGACAACGTAAAACATTTTTGAAATGAGGGTGAAGCATGGCGTTAATAAAATAGACTACAAATAATTGATAATTGGAAATAATTAAATATGGCAATGGAATAATATATGCTAAATTCAAGAGATAAGGAAAGTATGTAATTACAAATGCAGATAAATTGAATTGAACAACAAGAATAAAATACCCGAACGGGTATCAGCTTATGATTTTTACTAACTCCTAAACTCTAGCTTGGCCCATTCATACATGACAGGGTGAACTTTCAGTTTGACTTTAAAGTCCTAAATCAGTGATTTCTTACGAACAAGTGTGTGCCCAAAACAAGCACTTCTTTAAATCACCAGAAAAGCAATATTCTTTTCGACTCACGTTTCACCAATCAAGTTGGAGTCTTCAGGTGATGCATTTCTGGCGATTGAGGAAAGTGATTGGTTTCGAGAGAAGTTTGTAATTGAATTAAATGGAAACACACTTTAGAGATATAAACAAAAAACGGGAGAAGTAATAAAACAAATAATATAAATTATCTCAGAAAAACGAATCAAGAGAAGGGTTACAGAATATATTCTTTTTCTTTTTCAATATTGTTCAGTTTCTTTATTTTCCATGTATAATTTCTTTTTCAATCGGAATCGTTTCCGATAAATGCACTAATATTACTTTATAAGTTCTTACATGATATATTTATGTGTCTGTGGATGTTACAGTTTACAAATATTTCTCAACATAAAACTCGTCCACCCAGTACTATTCCTGGAAAACTGACAGAAACATTTTTCCATGCAATCAGACTTCAGCATTTTCTGTATTCAATAAAGATAGCACATATTTTCGAAAAAAATCCGACTCAAATAGCTCACACCATGCTCCTAGAATAAATCTTTATCTGACTGTGTGAAATTCCGAAAGTGAAACTAAAACTTTTTTAATCCTCGCACGAATTTAAACAGGCATGAAAACACTTAACTGTTCTATATTAGCATAGCTCAAAACACAATGAAAAAAATTCTCTTTGTAACGTTTCACGTTGTAGAGGCAGACACTTTAAAATCTACTGCAAGTTGTTATGACTGTCCAGAGTTTGGTGATTTCCTAGTGATCATGATGATACACATAGTAAACAATATAAATACAAATCATCATCCAGTGGCCAGTGGATTGGTGACACCTCACCAGACTTTCTGCAGACTGGAATGACTTTTACATTTCCCTCCTTTAGCTTCACGAATAATTATTGCTTAACATTTCTTATACAGGGTTATCTAGAGACAGGAAAGAAATGCTGTTCTATTGAAATATTCTGATTGGAGAATTTTTGTGTTAATAAAGAAGTAGTTATTTTTCATTAAAACTTGACGACGGAAATATCACGAATTCTTGAGAGACTGAAGGATTGTTCAAATAATGCTCAGAAAGTATTTTCTTCTACTTCTACTCGAAAGTGGAATGTTTTGAATAGCAAACATGAAGTTATAATGTCTGTATCTAATAATACAATCATTCCACAGAAAATAGATAAGGAGAAACAGGCGAAGAAATAAATATTAGAGATAAAAACAATGTCCTCGAATGTGTTGATTATCATCTACAAAATTGTTATCTTTATGAAAATACACTACTAGAAATATGACAAGTCTATATATTATCATAATATTTCACGAAAGATAAGGAACTTTTATCAATTTTGAAGATTGCACACATTTTGGTAAATAATCGATTGAGGAGAAGTTAGTATAGGAGTTACTATCTATTTTTTCACTTTGCTTTTGAACATTTCCAGAGAATTGACATTCTATAATTCAAGTGTAATACAGTTATATAATTCAAGCTCTAAGTCAAATCGATACCTTTGTTGAATACATCTTTCTGGTCAAGGGACATGATATGCATATTTCTATTTCTTATGTTATGCTAGTGGCTAATTGAAGTAGAGTTTGTTGATTTTCTTACTGGCTATGCCTGATTCAGGCGTAAATGACGAATTTACGCTTCAACAGTCCTATATTAAGCAATTCCAAAACATCGCATTTGATTTGTAGAAGTGTTCCATTGCAGATCGATAGGGAACCAAGTTATAGTACAGTCGAATTGTATTATAAATTTAAGTTAGCTAATTAAACTTCATTTTGCAAAAATGCTGTGTTTTCCATTCAAGTCAGTTTATTTTAGTTTTTTTAATTTGTTAATTATTATTTTAGTAAAGTAGTCAGTTCGAATTGTTTTCTATCTACAAAGTAAGGAGTTCAGTTGAATAATGATGTTATTACTAGCAGTTGCAATACATTTCTAAAATCGTTTTCTTATTAATTGGTTGTTTGAAAATTGTTTGTAATCGCTCATAATCTCTTCATCGACAGTAAAATACATGCATTTTTTTTTATCGACTATTGAAATCTGACATTTAGTAATTGTAAGTTTCCTTTCCAATTCTATTGTTACCCATGTCGTGACATTAGTGATATCCGATTCTATCATTTTTTAAATTCCTGTATTATTGGTAGACTTCGGGTTGTTTCTGACTGTATCGACATTTTTATCGTAAACCCTTTATAGTGCCCACACAACACAAAATAAGTATATAATAATAGATTCTGCTAAAACATTCTTCAACTCGGCCACTGTGAACTTTGTCTGTATTCCTAAAAGCTTATAATTTCTCCATTCACCAAACTTTTGAACTGCTGGTTATTAGCATAAAAATTAAATTTCAGAGGTCCTAATATAGTTAGTTCCCTGTGGTTAGTTCGCTGTGGTACTTGGTGTATCACATATTTTCAGCCATTGCTGCCTATTTTGCATATACTCAGTCATCAAGTCTAGCGCGGATGCTCTTATTCCTATACTCCAACATTTTGAGAAATTTAAATATACTCTTTAAAGCAATAGAAATAAATGAAAATCAAATCATTTTTGTAACACTACTTGATCTGTTGAGAAAATAAATTAAGTACTTACATCTAAAACGATGGTGGGGAATATAGAAATTGTCTCTGTATTGGTGGTTGCTTTCGTAACAAAAAGCCATATGAAAGTGAAATCAACTATAAATATTTCACCACCAACTATGCATATTTATTAAAGTTGAATTTACCACTAACCTGTTTCTGTATCTATAGTATAGTCCAGTCCTGCCCAAGGATCGTCGTTTTCATCCGGTTCTTCCTGTAAAAATAAAATAGAACCCAACTTTACGAACTGAATTTGATTAGAACAAAATTATTTACTTACTTTAACACCATCATCGTTGATTGCTTGAAGGGTTTTAAGTTTTTCCAAGTCATCATGTTTCTCATTCAGCGACGCAGTAACGCCATTTTCTTCGATTTTGATTTCATCCTTATCCGGTTTGGGGACAGCGTTTTCCACGGAAAAGCCAAGATCCACGTCTTGTTTCCATAGAACCTCTATAAGATCCATATCCTGAAAGAACAATAATTGTGAGCAATGTACCAAATTACCTTAATATCGGACCGAATTTTTCGATATGGAATATCGATGATATTCCATCATGTGATGAACCGAATACGTGAATATAGAAGCTGAACGATTAGAAAGTGAGATACGATAGAAATTTAGACATGGCATGCGTCTCTAATATTAGTCGATGGTAACTTCGTGTTTTTATGGGCACTTTTGAAAAAACATTTCAAATTGGAGGGGTTGAAAATTAACCCTGGACTAACTTCTGGATAGTATCTGTGTTGAAACCATTATTATGATCTATCTGTATAATTATATCAATTTCCCTAGCTAGATTGTTAGCAGACAAAGGCAGTGAGAATGCTCTGTGCAACATTGAATTGTAGGCTGCTAATTTATGACTGTCTGGATGGAAATAATCGCTTGGAATGGTAATGTCTGTATAGATAGGTTTTCTGAAAGCATTGAACTCAAATTTATTCTGATTGTGTTTAATGGTCAGGTCTAAGAAATCCATCTGTTTCTCTATCTCTGTTTCGAGTGTGAACTTCATGTTGCTGTTGAGATTATTCATGAATGTCATAAATTGGTTCAGCTGTCGTGTAGTACCTCTGAAATAGGCGAGAATATCGTCTACATATCTGTACCAAAAATTAATATGTTTTTTACCCAGGTCGGAATTTACTATACTGGTCTCCAAGTTGTTCATAAATATGTCTGCTAAAAGTGGACTGAGGGGTGAGCCCGTTGGTGAACCTGAATCCTGTTTATAAAATTTGTTGTTAAACTGTAGTTAGCTCTGATTTAGGCACACATCGAAAGCTGTTGAAACTTCAAAGGAAGTGATATGGTCTACTTTGGCTTGATCTAATATGTCTAAAATGAAGGGCTTACACTCGTTGTACGGTATTTTGGAGTTTCCAGAAGTTAGTCAGGAAACAAAGCCGGAAATTCACACTCAGGTCAAACAACAAGAAATCAATATATGGGTAACGCTTACATATTTTGGAAAAAGAACATAGATAATTGCGGGTTTCTTCAGAAAAAACAATGTGGAAGTGACATTCAGACCACATGCCAGGTTATCTCATTTCCTTTTCAATGCCAAAGATAAGGTGGACATCACTTTCCTAGGCAAACCCCCTAAAATGACTGGACTATAACATTACTGCAGTTTCGGCCCTATACGGATATTTTCAAACTTATACAATAAACTAACAACGATTCATTACATTAGCCATTATATAACACCCCTGTAGGTACTAATGAAGGTACTTGACTTGATTGACTACCTGAATTTACAGTTATGCTGTAAATTCAGGTACTCAATCAAGCCAAGTACCTCTATTAGTACCTACAGAGGTGGTATATAAAGTAATGAATCTTTGTTAGTTTATTGTATAAGTTTGAAAATGTCCGTATAGGTCGAAACTGCAGTAACGTTAGTTACAAATAAAAGTGATAAAAAACATAGAAAGTTTAATTCCTATTTTCTTCATAACGAAGAAGACATTGACTTTCAACTTCAATTTCTTAAAATTTTTGAGTGCTCGAGTTGTGTAGTACATGACACCAGACTTTTGGTTGCTTTCAAGTTTGGAAACAACAAAGTTGTGCATGAAAACTATGAACTGTTCATATAAACAGCAATTTTTTCTATAATTTATACCTTAGGAATCGTTGACGTTCGATTGGAAGTGAAAGTGTGGTATCACTCTGTTAGAAATATAACGAGCCCACTAAGTTCTAACGTGTAGAAGAAGTGTTTTTATCGAATTCTTGCGAAATATTTCTAAAACAAATGATTAGGCAGTTATCCAAATAGAAGAACTAATCACTCATATGAAAATCTATAACGTATTCAAGAAACACACGCAACACGTGATTCTCTATATAATAACTACTTCAGGTGTTTCTATACTAGATACGTGTCTATAGAGACACGCCTGAAGAAGCTATTGTATTGCGAAACGCGAACGTGTTACGTTTTTGTAAAACTGTTTAGTAAAAATTTCATGATGAAGTTTTTCTTGAATATTCTACTCATATGTTCACAAAAAAATTAAATTCATCAGCGTTAAGAACAAATTTGGATATTTCTCTTTGTAACAAGGAAACATGAATCAAATCATCTTCTATACTCATATATAACTACCCATTTCTTGGTGTTCGTCTTTTTTTGACATTTTTAAGATGATGCTTTATAAGTAAGATTATTTCTCGCAATTTAATTTCATTCCAATAATTATGAAGAGTATAGACAAGGTTACCCACATGAAATTATTACGATGTTAGTGTGCCGTAATATACTTTTTCTATGATTATTGTTGAAGATAGTGTCAAATATATGACCGTTTCTTGTTGGCTGAATGAGTAAAGGTAAAGATCCATAACTCAATACCAGATAAAGATTCCTTGATAATTCACCTACTTCAAATTTATTCTTAAACTTCATACTCAATCACTGAACTGACAATCCGTTCTAAATAATATAGTTTCTATGAAAAAAAATAAAATAAAAATAAAACCATCTACCTACTCGGAAAGTGAAAATTAATGTACCTCACCAGAAATTTGTGATGTGGTGAGAAATTGATGTTNTATAAGGACTAACCAGACTAGACTAGGTATCAATTTTCTTCTCCTGAGGATGCTAACTTTGTTGGCGAAACGCGCGTCGAGTGCAAAAATATCAGTTTGGTGTTAGGGCAATTGATCTCGAAAAAAGTTATTCATCTTATTAGGACACAGTTTTCACTGATATCATAAATTTCGTCCAACATTCAGAGGCAGATTAACTAAAACTTCAGTCAACTGATCTATCATGAAATGTCGGTATCTGCCTGCGTTCAAATTTTCTCTTAAGAAATAGGGTTCAATTATTTGGTTGTGTAATCAACACCACACATTTGTCTTGAACGAATATTGGTCACTGCATTCTATAATGAAATTTCTATTATTGTTGGACTACCAGTGGCAATTCTGTTCCGATCGACGTTAAAGTTGCCTTGTTTGTCCAGAAACTACTGTAGGGAAATTTGATATCAATTTATCTCTCATCTTGGAACCAAAAAAAATTCTTCTCGAATATCGAAATCTCAAACTCACATTGAGTTGTTTTTCTTCATTATACACTATTGGAATTTGTGGTTTCTTCAAACGATAGCATTTATCTTTGAATTTATTCAACATTCCTTCCAAGGTACAGGTAGAGAATATTTTTCCCCGATGCCATTTTGTTTTACGTACTTATATAACATTGTGCATAAAACTTATTTGTGGAATATGTAAGACAATTTGGGTGTTATTTGAAATTTCTAATAAAAATCAAATTTTTCTATGGTTTTCGAAAAAAAAAAAATATAAAATTCAGCAGGTTTAGACTTTGTTTTCACTATCTTCATTTTTGATTAAATGTTAAATTTCAGCCGTATCAACCCTATTCTTTAGACAAATATACACTAGAAAAAACATTCGTATGTTTTTGTCAAGAGTTGGATCTTTCAATCAATCCTTCCGATAGTACCTCTATCTATGATAAAGCCCCGTAATTTTTTGTATTACGTCGTTAATGAATTAATGAGAGAGTGAAACGTATACTCGATCCTTTTCGACTAAGCGAAGGCAAATAAATTACAAATAAGTAATGAGAACGGTTTCAAATTAAATCGGTATATGAAATTTTTGATTAATGATACAGAGCGATAGGTACGCCGAGTTAATAGCAGAGAATGGAGAGTAATGGTAAATGAAACCGGGGTAAGGCAAAACAAAACAACACCTACTTTTCAATTGTGATTAACATACCTACTTTGGAAATTAAAACACGGCATGGGTCGCTATTAAAAAGGCAGTCGATGCGATCCATTCGCTTGTCGACTATCCCGCAGTTCGACAAGATGGCGGACGGTTATAAAAGCGGCTTTGCGGGAGACAAAGGAGTGGTTCTGACAGTTCATAGGTTTCTTCGCTACCCTCAGGTTATCTCACTTCACACCCATTGTCTTTAATACTCTTCGCAGTCCGTAAAATATTTCAACATAATGAAAAACACTAATTCGACACCAGGCTACAGAAAAACATACATTGTTGATCGCCCATATTACTATAAAGGATGTTCTAAATAATATAGNATTTTTTCAAATAAAATATCGAAAGTTAATGATGGAAAACTATTTTTTCAATGAGACACCCTGTATATTTCTGCATATTCCAATAGAGCCTAAAATTACATTTCCAAAAATGTAGCACACTTGATGTTTTGCCAGAGTAATCTTGGGAATGCAGAACTTTCAGTTTTTTTTCATGTAGACTTTGAAAAGCACATTTTGATCAAGTAGGCTTTGGACGATGGGGCAATGAAACAGAATGCAAATCTTCACTGGTATTTGTCAAATTTTGATTTAAGCAATAAAGACTCTCTTCAATTAGTGGTTTTTGTCCAATTTTCAAACACATTCGTAATGAAGTATGAGAATTAGAAAAAATGGAATATAATAGTCTGTTTTATACAAATCGGGGAAAATGCAGAAGAAGCAAGCAATTTGTATCAATTTGCAATTGTCGCCAATTTTTTGGCTGCAAATTTCGGTAATAATTGGATAGTCAACCAAGGACCCAACCATTGGTCGACCAGGTCACCAGACCTAACGCCTATGAACTTTCATTTTTGGGGAAGGTTGAAAGATGTTATTTCTTAATTGCCGAACAATTATAAGCAGCGGCAGTGATGCAAAGTTTTCTTTCTATCACTCCTATTGAACTAATTAAATCGGCAAAAAACGTTCAGAAAAGATGTCGCCTGTGTGTGAGAGAAGCTTGTAGACATTTCGAACACCTTCTCTGATGAAATATATTTCATTGTTTGTCCTTCATCATTATTATTATTATTGTTGAAGTTTCATTTATCAGTAGCAAATATAGTATGAATCGTTATCAGTTTTATTGAAACTATGTGTTTTGATTTGCTGTGGAAAGCTTTCTCAACATTTGATAGCTAC